TAAAATCTTTCAACAAACTGATGAAGCACTGGAGACACTCACTCATCTATGCCAAGAAATTTGTAAGACAGCTACTGTCCAACCGATTGGAAGAGATCCATACTTGTGCCCATTTCAAAGAAAGGTAACACAATGGAATGCACAAATCACCTAATGATATGCAAGTAAAAATTTCCTGAAGAAAATTAAAAAATGGTTGCCACAGTACATCAACAGAGAGCTGCCAGAAATTCAAGCCAGATTCAGAAAAGGACTGGGATGAGGGATATCAGACAGATATCAGATAGATATTTACTTGTACTGTATTGACTATGTAAACCCTTTCGACAATGTGGAACATGAAAAACTGTGAAGAAAGGGGATTCCAGAACACTTAATTGTGCTCGTGAGGAACCTGTGCATAGATCAACTGTCAGTCATAAAAACAGAAAGAGACACTTTGAAAATCAGGAAAGCTGTACACCAGAGATATATTCTTTCATCCTGTTTATTTAATCTGTACGCTGAACAAACAATATGAGAATCTGGATTATAAAAAGAACGTGGTGAACCTAAAGGAACAAGTTAGCTAAACTTAGAATGGAAGAATTTACCATTGTTGTTCCACATCTGGTTGCTGCTGTTTACATTCCTTTGTTGGGCCTACACCTTCAAAATTTTTTTGGCAGGTATATGCTAAACACTTAGGTTTTGTGGTCAAGACAGAATCAAAGAATATGGACACTAATAACGGATATATCTGTTTTCTTCTGTCTTCTCCCATGACTATATCTACTGCCTCATTTTGATTTATAAGCAAAACCTGGAAAACCTACAAAATTAAACGTTTTGAGGTTTATCTAGGAATAATACAGAAAAATATTACTGGTATTTTTGGTGAAATCAATTTTGTACAGTTTATTGTTATTAAAAAAAAAAAAAAAAAAAGAGGCAAATTAATCGAAAGTTAAGTAGATTAAAAGTATCATGGTTATGTGTAAACCCAAGTCCAAAGACACTGACCTTGCCACTGAGGGCTAGAGTTAAGAATGAAGCAGCCACCAGATCTGAAGGGGGAGGTGTGTGTGAGAACTCTCAGACATGCAGACAGTACCCATTGGACGTAGGGTGGATGGCTTACTGACCAGAATTCGACCAGAGAAATATAAAGGAGTATAGTGTAGGCAGCAAGAGTAAATTGCTACAACCTGATCAACTGGACTCATGAGTATGGATGAGGCTGCTCAAAATACCAACCAAATAGGGAAGGATTCCCCATACCAAAGATAAAGCATGGCTCCTCAGTACACTGGGATATTAGGGATGCGCAACCTAAACTTTGGCTAACAAAACTGGGGGGCTATAAAGGCACGAAGTGGCTGGCTTATAAGCTTTCATGTGGGTGCTTAGCATCAGAAAGTGGGAAGTAAAACAGGAACCCAACTGAATAGCTTTCCTCTTGTCCAGATGGGTCTGGTAATGAGAGGGATAAGACTTAATGATACAATTGTGAACAACTGTTTTCTGCTATAAATGCAGAAGAGATATAAGGGGGAGCAGTTAATCTGTCATTTTGGGAACAGGGGACCCTAAGACCAAAAAGAGGGAAGAACATGAAATGTGTGAGGAATCCTGACCAGGAAAGAGGCAACAGAGATGGCAGCAGAGGCAATGGAAAAAAAAAATCCAAGTACCATGGATTATCCACAAGAAATATGAGTCATAACACAAGTAGATATATGCACACCAATGTTCAAAACAGCACTATCTACAATAGCAAAAAGATAGAGACAGCCTAAGTGCCCATCAATAGAAGAATGAATAAACAAACTGTGGTACATACACACAATGGAATATTATACTACCTTGAAGAATAACAAGGAAGCTATAAACCACTACATAACATGGCGAACCTTAAGGACATTATGCTGAGTGAAATTAGTCAGTCACAAAAGGAGAAATACTGCATACAAGCATTATTGTAAAAGCTTATGGAAAAATACCCACACTAAAAGTGTGTGTGTGTGGGGGGATTCTTTGTTGGTTACCGAGGGTGAAGGGGGTGGGGTGAGGGAAGGGAATGTAGAGCGCAGGGTAGGGAATAGGCACAAGATAGTTTGGGTGTTGGTGGGGGGCATTATACATAATAAGGGAGTTTGAATGGGCAAAAGAGGGGAAATGATGTTAAGATGCTTGAACGTCTTAAGAATCTTGGTTCCCCTTGCCTACTATTGTAAAATAGATACTTGAGGGGGAGAGAAAGGAAAGCTAGAAACATCACTATAGAAAGGTTGTGAGTCAGTCTTCAGCCTATATAACTGATTGTAATACTTAATATGGGGTTAGAACTTGCCAAGTGAAAGAGGCTTCCTGCAGAGCCTTTGCACTGTATAAGACCTTAAGTGGAATCCTGATCCCAATCCAGAATCTTCTGAGGTGGGAAATTTCCACTTGGAAAGACAAGCAGACCAGCCTGGAGCAACTAGAGGAACTGAAGATACTTCTTGAAAGAAAGACCAGCAGGAAAAATCAAAAACAATAAAGGCAGTCTGACTGACTACTACAAGAAAAAGCAAGTTGTTTGCCAGGGAGCCATCAAGGCAAGCATCAAGTCCTCTCAGGGCAAACACCCTTCCAAGTCTGACACTCAAAGAGAACACACAAGCAGGTATGTAATTTTCTGGTGACCACGTTAGTATACCGATAAGGCGAATGGGGGAAAAACATAAATGAAGCTGTGGGCTAAATCCGACCACGTTCAATACACTCCTCTTTACCTGGATTGAGACCTGGTTGGCCAGTTGTATATCAAGACCTGGGGACTCCTGAGCCCATGGACAGGGACATAACCACAGAGGACTAGAGTGGAGCATGAAGCATCCAGGTAATATGAAGTAAGGGGAGATGCACAAAAATGCCCATACTTGGCAGATAGTACTCATTAGACCTAGCTTCAAGGGCTGGTCAGAACTCAACTAGAGGAAGAAAGAAGAGGGAAAAAAAGTGTAATCCGCTACAATTTGATGAACTTGATCTATACTTATGGATGTAGTAGCTCAAAAGAGGGAATGAGTCTTTGCAGTAAGGATCATTCCCACCCCCCCTCTGTACATAGGCTTGACAGGGATGGGCAACTTAGACATTAGCTACCTAAAATGGGCGGGGGCGGGGGAGGAGGGCTACAAAGGCACGAAGTAACTGGCTTACAAGTTTTCAAAAGGGAGCTTAGTTTCAGAGGGTGCAGTGGAAAGTAGATGCTCCACTGAATTGTTTTTAACTTGTCTAGACAGGGATGGTGAAAGAAGATGGGGATAAGACTCCTGTGGTTCAATAGTGAATAACTATCAGGACTGATTGTGAATATTGCAAATTTAAAGGTAGACATTTTATAACCAAAGGAGGGGAGTGGTTGATCTGCAGTCCAGGAGCAGCAGACCTTCAAGGAAGAAGAGCAGAATGCAGGACCCTATCCAGAGAAGCAGAGATGGCGGCAGAGACGATGATGTGGTGAGATGGAGTGGCTGGGGATTCTAGACCCAATGAGGGAGAGGGGCTGTGTGCTGGCAGCCGGGGGGCAGGCTTTCAGGGTATGTCCTTTGGTTGCTTGAATGGTAGTATATTCCTGAGTGCTTCCGTGTACATCAAAAAAACACACACAAAAACAGAGGGAATGGAAACAAATGTTGTTGAATGATGATGCTGCATGGAGGAGACTGTAAACACTGCAATGAAACGAAATACGATAGGATGAATGTAAAGCTGATGTTCTCCCATGTAAACTATCACACAATTCACAATAAAAACTTAAAAAAAAAACAGTACAATGAACTGCCAGAACAACAAATAAATCTGTATTGGACAAAGTACAGTCAGAATGCTCCTTAGATACATGGATGGTGAGATACTTTGGACATATTATCAGAAGGGATCAGTCCCTGAGGATAGACATTGTTTGGTAAATTGGAGAGTCAGCGAAAAAGAGGAAGAATCCCAATAAAATGAACTGAGACAGTGGCTGTAACAGTGGGCTCAAGATTAACAATTGTGAGGACATTGTAGTACTGGGCAGTGTTTCATTCTGTTGTGCACAGGGTTACTATGTGTTAAGAGTCAAATTGTTGGTAGCCAGCAACATGTACCAAAAACAAACAAAAAAACCATAATGCTGCATGTACACAAATACATAAAGGTACAGTAAACATTTTGAAAATCTATATTAAATAGATAACAGTAGTCATACAAATAAAAATGAATATGTATGACTGGGAACTTCACTTAAAATGTAATAAACATTTTAGGTTTATTTACCTACACTATATTATATATACATTTTGGAGATTACTAGGTGAAGACAGTTTAACTAGAAAAGTGTGAATTAAAATCAAATTATAAACTTCAACTGTTGCTAAATGGTGTTCTGCCACAGTACTTATCAGGGAAGTGAAAGACAAAGTAGTCATGACATAAAGGAAAGTTGTTAATGCAACTATTTTATCTACTTCCTTTGGTTGCAACTCTTCTTTGAGAAGAGTTCCTGTAACACTTCATTTAATTAGACTTGATATACCAAATAATTAATAAGATTTCTTTCATCTTTAGGTAGAAAAAAAATGTTCTTTGGAGTGGACAACAGGAAGCACTGAAACGTTAAGTACGACTACTTTTATCATATGTTTTCAACATATCAAAAATATCTTACCTGTAGACACAGAGAGTAACAGCAAGGCAACATTTATAAAAAGAAAACCATATTACTAAAATTGCCAAATATTAACCTTCAATGATATTTCCTCAAAAGCTAGTATTTTCATAGTTTATATATTTCAGTTTTCATGTCACAGTGTTTAAGTGAGAAACTATTAAAACTAAGGTTTGCTTCTTTATTATACAGGAACAAAAATACTGCAATGATAATATTCAAAGACAAAGGGAAAATATGATAACAAATGGACATAACATATAAAATACTGTTATGGAAAAATTAACATTCCTTTTCTTGAAAGAAAAATTCCAGTAAGTACCTGAGCAAGTTCTTTTTGTTCATTCACCAGTCTGCTGCAGCTAGCAATCATCTGGTCCAGGGCATAAAGCCTATCTTCAAGCCCTTTAATGGCTTTCATATTCTGATTATCAAGTTTGGCAATAGTTTGACGGCATTCTGTTAAAAATGGTCGAATAATTCTTGGATCAAGCTAAATAACAAGGAAACATATATGTGAATAAAATTTGTAGCTGACAATATTGAAAAATATATTCCATACTATTTTGGTTCAATGCTTCAGAGACAATCTAAAAGCAATAGGGAAAAAAAAATACAGAAAAGCAAAAGCATAAGTAATATGAGTCACTCTCTAACAGGAATTTAAAGAACAGTTAAAACACAATTACTGCTGTAAAATTCTGTAGAACACATATCTGCTTCCAAAATTATACATTTCAATCAATACCACAATTTAAATCCTCACAGAATAAAGCAGAGTTAATGGTTACTACCATATTCTTTTTTACTATTCAATCTATTCTGTTCCCTGGCTTTAACTCTATAAATCTGCTAGAATTCATGGAACCAAAAAGGGACCCGATACTACTCTTTCCCTTTGCAAGTAAAGTGCCTCTCTAAACTCTCCAGTAGCTTTTATACAATATATTCATTCCACAACTTTGTCATTAGCTATTTTTTAATCTTCCTTAATATAATTTCACCACCATCAAGCATGACTTCAATGGCTGTAACTTTGAAACTTTCCTTTATACTTCTCACAGGGAAGTTCAGTGGCTCTGTATAGCACACTGGATGACAAATCACAAGGTCACCAGCCACTCCATGGGGGAAAGAAAAGGCATTCTACTCTTGAAACACTACACAGGTTACTATGAATTGGAACAGACTTTACAGCACATAACAAAAACAGCAGCACTTCTCACAAATTTAGAAACTGTTTCTGATTGCTGGCTGATACTTCCATGTAGGTATCAACTACTGTATCTTCTATTAAAGACTCATTATTTCACTCTCCTGGTGTAATCCCCTAATAGCTTCCTTCTAATAACAAACAAAGTGAATAAATGTAAGCTACAGGAGACACTTCAGTAGTCTGACACCAGCAAATCCTTCTGGACTGTTTTCTTTCGAACTTAGTTACCTGTTACTTCCAGACAAACGCTAGTTTTTCTACTGCCAGTTTTTTTCACATTGCTTGTACTGTTTCGATAACCATTCTTTAAGCCCATCTCTGTCTAGATTTAATGATTCTAAATAAATACCACCTCCTTTATGATCTCATCTCTAGTCAGTCTAAAGATTTCACACAGTACACCTTATACAAAGAACACACATTTAAAGCTGGAAGTCTATTGTTAAACCAAGAAACTAACACTATCCAAGTTTACAGAACTAAAGAGGCAGCCCTCTTTGCACAACAATGTCATAACTGAAATTTGTTTCTCAGTTTTTGCCATTTCATGCGCTTGTTTCTATTACATAGTCCTGTATAATGCAAAAACTGACTGCAAATCATTAGTGATATAAGTGACCCAAAAGACAGAATAGAATTGGTTCAAACTTTGGACAAATTACAACTATGCATAAACTAATGAAACAATCATTCACAAGAAAACTAGTGGGTTTCAACAGAAATAGTGACAATTATTGACCTCATCATGAACTCAATTTGCAAGCTAAGCTGTCCAGTGCCCAGGTCTTCATGGCTTCTTGGTTTTCACACCTTTAGAGAGGAACCAGTTCTGGGTTTGCATCCCTGTAGATGGAATGCCTTTTTGTTGATTATGGCAAGAAATCCAAGCTGGGGTTCTCCATTTATCCAATCATTCAGGTTTCCACAGTTGTAGCTAAGCCTAAAACTCCATCCTCGCTACTCACACCAACCTGGAGCACACGGAATGTGCTTTCACGGTAAACAATCAAGCCATCTATGGCATCTGTCACAGAAACCTTGGTATTGAATGTCCCATCCACACTAACCTGAATTGCCTTAATAGCCAGATTTTATCCTCCATAACTGCTTCCCTCACATTTGATGGTACCCAGTCAATTTGACCTGTTGCCCTATCCCTGCATCCATTTTTCTCTAGCCACATAATTCACCATCATCTCTGCTGAGGACGCTTAACATGATTACTGTAGAAGAGTAATTAGTAATCTAATGCTTGAAATGAGACCCTCACCAGTTTGAATACATGGCTTGCTGCCTATTGTTCCACTGTGATTTCCAATGATGTCAATGCTGCCACTACCACCATTAAGACCAAATGTAGCACTGTTTGTGGACTGGCGCCCCAATGGCTACAGCCTCTTGCTGTGGTTACCTGGTGGAGATCTGGCCAAGGTACAGTGAACTGTGTGTATAGTGAGTAACACCACAGCCACTGCTGAGGCCTGGGCTTACCTAGGTTTGATCTGATGCATGCCAAGTGTACCTTGATCATAGGTATGTGGATGAGGGATGAAAGAAGGAGGAGGTTGGAACAGATATAAAACTGGTGGGAAAGGATGAGGGTGAAGAGTATTAACTTGTCTGCTGCATTGTACATTCTGGTATCTTGAGACTTTTACCTCTGTTGTCCTATAAAACTGTCTAGTGGCCTTTAACTATCAATAAAAGTGATGTTTTTGAGAAGAATGTAACCAAGTCACTGGATATACTGTGTAGAAATTATTGAATAAGAAACTAAACTGCTCTGTAAACCTTCACCAAAAACATACAAAAGTTTTATTTGTTTAAAAAACCCCAGTGTAATGGTAATAAACAATAGATCCCATTTTGTGTAAAGTACAGTACTAATACATAGAAAAATTCTTCAAAAACATTTTTGAACATTTTTTTTTAACCAAATAGGCCATGTGCCATTGATTTCTGCCAGGGTTAAATGAATATAATTAAATAAAAGCCTTAACTGTTTTCCTATACATAGGATTTTTAAAACACCACCAAGAATTCATTCTATAAATTATGAATGCCTGCCTCAATGATTAAGTTGTTTTCCCAATGTAGGTATCATCTATTCCTCACTTATCAACTATCTAGTTATCTGACAGTAGTAAAAAAATCTACTATGCAATTATTTTGTGCATTAATGATGTGTATCTGGCAGTAGAGATCTCCAAGGTGCTGGCTGTGATAGTCAGAGTTATATATCAACTCGGCTGTGACACAATTCTCAGTGGTTTGGCAGTTATGTAATGGTGCTGTCATCCTCCATTTTTACATAATGCCAATTTCTGCATAACCACCTGTTTTTGGAACATAACCATGCTACTAAGTGAGGAGTGGGTGTACCATATTTTTGCATATGATGTGCCCACATAAATAAGGAGCATGTGCACACAGGAAACTAATGTGTGAAGGTTGTGAGTTTGCATATAAATATGGTACTTTGAATTTTCTTTATTAAGATTTTTAAAGATTTTTGTCCTTCTTCTCATATGAAGTGAATAAAATCTGACTCATGCTAGATTTCTCATCTAAGCATGCAAACGCAAAGCAGATATCCAGTCTGCATTATTACACTTTTAGGTTACTAAAATAATGACAGGAGTCCTGGTATGGCACAGTGGGTTAATGCGCTGGACTGCAAAGTTGGTTTGAACCACGAAGTTCATGGTTCAAGCTTACCAGATGGTCATCAGAAACCCTATGCTGGGTCACTATGGGTTGTATCCAATTCAATGACACTTAACAACAACAACAAAATACTGACAGGTTAAGCAGAACACTAGTTTGCATCTGTTTTTGTATACCACATATTTCCTTGCCCTACCAAACATACCCTAATTAAAGCTATCTTTGAAAACAAGTAATAAGGTAATAAATGTTCAAAACATATGCCTAACTTTATAGATGTTGTCAAAAAATGGAAATTCAATGAATTACGAAACCTCGAACTTTACTGAAAGCTACAAATTTAAACAAGAAACTAGTGTGCTGTATTCCAGGCATCCCAGAAAATACGGTGGTGTTTTCTAAGTAGTGAATTTAAAGAACAAGTCTCTTTTCTAATTGTTGTTGCTGTTAAATGCCATGGAGTCAGTTCTGACTCATAGTGACCCTATATAGGGTTTCCTAGTAGAGGCTGGTGAACTTGAATTGCCAACCTTGCAGTTATAGCAGACGTTGCAGTCCAGCGCATTAATTTTCTTTAGACAAAAGCTACCTTTAAAACATGTTATTATCAGTTATGAATTAGCTATAAAGGGGTATTTTTTATTCAACCAGGTTTCAAAGTTTTTGCAGTTATATCTGGCGAGATCTTACTCTAACACCCAAATTCATTATGATTACTAAATATAACTAAAAACAATATCCAAATTTAAAGATTTCAGAAAGATGTAGTATGTATTAAGAGAACGCACAGTAATCAATGCACAAGAATGAAAAACACAAGAATGTTTAAATTTTATCTAGCAGAACAAAGAATCTAACTGTATAAAATGTATAAATATTAAAAAAAAAACCACACAACAGCACACTGCCAACAAGTCAATTCTGACTATAAAGACCCTTTAAAGGGTTGCCAAAGCTTAAGTGTTAAATGGAGCAAAAGTCTCATCTTTCTCCCATGCAGCAGCTGGTGCGTGTAAAATGCCAACCATGCAGTTTAACAGTCCAGTGCTTATGCTACAGCACCACTAAAATTTTTGTATGATGCTAAAGCCGCCATCCTGTCAAAGAATACTCAAAGTACTACCATCACCATTTGAGTGTACACTTTAAGGTTGGCCATTGTGCTAGAAAAGTTACCTCTTTACAAATTTAGGAATAATTCAGAAAGGTACACATGAAACAATTTGATTTATTCAGGTCATAGTTGGATAAAAAGTTTCACTACATACCTCATTGTTTCAATTAAAATAAAGTTTCCATTCTAAGATTTTCTAGCAGTTAAACTATGACACCAAAATACTTACTCTGCTCATAGAATCAAAACATTTCCTGACCAAAGATTCCACATCATTAGGTCTATCTTGAACATTTATCCAGTCCAATAAAGAAACATTGAAAAAAGGCAGATTGCCGTCTTTAGCAACTTTTGAAATTTCATCATGCTGGACAGTACTGTGACAAGATTCCCTAACTTCTTTGCCACTTTCATCATCTGTAGTATCTGGTACCATATGTTCCACTGACTTGTGAAATGAGGTTGATAATGATTTGTTAGTTGTTCTAGGCATATCAGAAGAGAGCACCAGTTCAGTGGATCTGTTCATCTCAGCCTTTTCTGAGTCTTCATGTTCAGGTAAAGAATCCAGTCTTCCCAAACATTCCTTGTAACTATGTCTGGTTAGACACTCCAATAGTGGAATCTTGGACATTACTGAAACTGCTGTTCCTAAACTTAAAATACAAAAAACAAAACTGTCATTAAGATTTTAAAATACAAAAAGATCAGTCATTAAAACTATTTGACTACTTAAGGATAGCATGCTAAAAAAATAAAACAAAAACATTGTATATATAGTACAATCACAAATCTTTTCACCTCTTTCTAAAACATATATTTATATATATATATATATATATATGTCTATTGAAGTGTTCTCTAAAAGAAGCATGGTAGCAGATAAAAGCTGTCAAATATCACTCGAAAGCTAATCAATTTATGCTAAAGTTCAAAAAAAGGATCCATTATAAAACTCCAAACCCACTGCCATTGAGTAGATTTCAACTCATAGCAATCCTATAGGACAGAGTAGAACTGCTCTATAGTGTTTCCAAGACGGTCTTCAAAGAAGCACACAGCCTCATCTTTCTCCAGTGGATGACTGGTGGGCTTGAACCTCTGACATTTCAGCTAGTAGCCCAATACTGAGGTATCAAAACTCCTTGAACTCACCACAGCTGTCACTTAAATATTTGTTTTAATCATTAAAATATTTTTTTATATATGGAAAACATAAGATGAACAATTCTAAAAAAAGATTAGGGTAGCACTTGCTTTTTCACACTCGCAAAATAAATAGAAACACAGACTGACACTTGCAAACTGTCAAAGGCACTGGGAAAATGTAAATCTTCAGAGGCTTGATTTCTGTAGAATCATTTGTAAAATGATGATATTGTTACATGCTGTCAATTGGTTCCTGAGTCATAGTGACCCTGAGTATTGGATTTCTAAGAACAGCTGGTGGGTGTGAACTGCTTATTCTAGGGTCATATCAAGAGTCTATATAAAATAATATGTAGTGGGAGAGACCATTATATAAGATACTTTGTTTTTAGTTTTAATTAATGACTAGTTAGACCAGTCTTTCCTTCCCAACATTCGCAACATTCTCAAATTAAGGCCCCCAAAGTCAATCTAAATACTCAAGCAAAAAAATTAAAAATCCGAGTTAATGAGGTTGACCTAAATAAAAAAGAAAACTCCCTATCAATTCAACCACTCACCAACCACCTCCCACCGAAAAAAGACTGAACATAAAAATTGAAGACATACAAAGGCCTATATTTATGTTGAATTACTGTTATATTTTTACTCTCATTATACACCATTTTTTAATTGCATTTTTTCAAGAACCACTGAGTAAATGTGCAAAGAACTAAACAGAAAACTAAACAAGAACAAAATGGCCTTTCTTCTGTCTTACCAAACATATATCATGATGGCAATACTTCAAAGAAAACATAATATTTCTACAAAGAGTTTATAGAAGGATAAGAAATAGACAAAGAGCCTTGCTTTTATAATTTCAAAAGTACTCTGAGCCTTATAGGAAAAGAATGTGTTGAGATTAAAAATTATGGTAAAAAAATTTATAATTTTTTATTTTAGAATCTACAAATCAGTCATGAAAAATCTTAAAAATAAATTATAACAAATGGTCTATGGGTAATGCAATTAGAGTAACTAAAACTAATGATAAATTACAAAGGTATTCTAAACAAACATTATAAATTTTAACGGCAAACATACTGAGTAAGTTTTAACTTGATGTCTTCTATGGATTGCAGATAATTTGAATAAATATTTTCAAACTTGTAAAGGAGCTTTTGATAGGAATTTGAACAGTCCTCCAAATTTGCCATAATAGCAGCCCATCCTTGGTGTTGAAGATGTTCATCATGAACCAAACCTTCACAAAAAGAGCAAAGTTTCTTGGCAACTTCATACATCTCCTATATTAAAAAGAAATGAAGAAATAAAGAAAAGTAATGATTTGTACGCACCTTCTGGCATATATGTATGTACATTTTTAAGAAATTATTTTAAAAGGAATTTTTTACTTTTTTATTGTTTATGCAAACAGTTAACAAGCTCAGATGCTAACCAAAAGGTTGAAGATTCAATTCGAAGCAGAGGAAATATGGCTTAACAATCTACTTCTGAATAATCAGTTGCTGAAAACCCTAGGAAGTCATTTCCACTATGACACACGTCACCATGAGCCAGAGTTGACTTTAGGGAACTGGAAAATTGTTCATGTATTTAAAAATTTAGTAATACAACAGTATATAAACAGTAAGATGTTTCTCAGCAGATATCTAAGAGATGATCAACAGAAGGAATTCCCATAAGATGTCATCATGGTGAAATAGAATACTTATGTGAAGCAGACATGACGAAGGTAAAAATCTCAAGATGGAAAAAAAACAATAGATTAAATAAAGGCTTCTTGAAGCATTGCAGCATGAAGAGAATTTGGATAAGTAAAGATGAGGAAACAAGCATTTGAAAAGATTAGCATATGGAACTAAGTTATAGGATACAATGGAAGTAAAGCCCCAGTCACTGAGTCGATGTCTAGAACTCAGCACATCACTCCTGGTTTCCTCCCGCCAGCCTTTTTGCACCACTCCCTGCCGCATGTTGCTTCCACCAAGGAAAAGGAATCATATATGCCCGCAATTCAGAACCTTCATTCTTGATACAAGGGTGATGACCTGCTTGCTTTCTTTTGGAACTGAGGATTATATCCATGTAAGAATTCAATAGAGAAATTTCAGGAAGACCCGGATCGCTGTTTATGAAGGTGTTTTAAGAAGAAATTTGCCTGCAATGGTAATGTAACTGAGCATCCAGAATATGGAGAAGTAATTCAGCTACAGGGTGATTAGGACAAGAACACAGGCCAGTTCCTTGTAGAGATAGGAACTGGCAAAGGCTAGCTGAAAGTTCATAGGTTTTAAGTGCTTACAGCTCACAAAAGCTTAAGTGAGGATTTCCTTGCAATGATTAGAAAATTTCCCTCTGTCCCTTGTCACAAGTTTAAAACCTCACAGTTTGTACGAGGGTGAGTCAAAATTATTGTGACAACAGTTCTAAATTTGACCATTGATAATACATTAATCAGTGGGTGAATACAAACAAATTCTCTCAGTAATTCACTTGTCTTAGTGACATTACAGTGCCTTCAAATGAAGGATTTTTTTGTGCTATGGAAAAAAACAATTTCGAAGTCAGGGCTAATATAAAATTTTTAACAAAACTCAAGTGGACATCTCTCCGAATCAATGATGCTTTGCAACAAGCTTATCGAAATGTTGCCCCACCTAAAGTAACAGTTTCTAAGTGGATCAAGCATTTCAAGAAAGGTCAGTAAGACCTCAAAAAAGACAAGGCCATCGACATCAACAAGTGACGACACTGGCTAAAGTCGCCGAAGTCTAGAAACTGGTGGGAGACTGTAGAGTTAGTTTTGATGTGAGAACTGCTGAAGCTGCGATCTCATTTGGTTTGGCATTTTCTTTCAAACTGACTTAAAAATATATAAAAGGGGGAGAGGGGAAACATCTTCAAAATTGTGACAAACTCAAAAGACATCTTGCTATTTTTAAAACAAATGGGAGCAAGGTAACACCATATACAAATCTGGGTAAAACAAGTATGGATATACAAATTGAAAACATTTTCAGTTATTATAAAGTTCCAATGGGATGTTAATAACCTTAAAAACATAAGATCAAAAAAAAAAAATAATGAAAACAAAATTCTTCAATGGATTAACAATTCAGTAAATGGTTTTGGGATAGTATCTTACATTGTGGAGACTAAATTATCTCAGAGATATATGCACAGAACTACAAAAGACTTGTAGATATAATGTTGGGTTTCAAAAGCTCATAGAAAATTCCCTATCATATAATTCCATGTTCCATAAAATTTTGAAGCCCCCTCGTATAAAAAACAAAAACTTGTTGTTGGTTTTTTCCCCAAAACTTTCATGTGTTCCTGCAGCTGACTTCAGCCAGCACTTTCTCATTCCCTCTTCTCTGTCTCTGCTCTCCACTTTTCTGCCTGCACTGCTATGAAGTGCTATCTACCATCTCTCCCAGCAAGTGGGCCTGGCCTGGGGCTCCACTTTGCCCTGTTGTTGGAGCATGCTACCGCCCCGACCAAGGGGGTCCTGGAGGGCAGCAGGCTATGACTTGTACAGTGCCTATGATTATACAATTCCACCCATGGAGAAAAGGTCTTCTGAAAACTGACATTCAGATAGCCCTTCCTTCTGGGTGTTATGGAAGAATAGCTCCACCTTCTGGCTTGGCTGCAAAACACTTCATAGATGTAGGAGCTGGTGTCGATGAAGATTCTATAGGAACCATTGGTGTTGTGCTCTTTAATTTTGACAGAGAAAAGTTTGGAGTCAAAAAGGGTGACCGAAGAGAACAAAGAAGATGGCGGTTCGGGTAGCAGTGCAGTGAGGAGCTCAATTAGCAACAACACAAAATATCGAACCAAGCAGGCTCAGGGGATGGTACCACAACTCTAAACCACATATAAAGGAATATTTAGAGGGTTGGAAGGCTTATAGCTAGGGGATATAGTAGCAGAAGCAAGACACCCATTGCTTTCTAACCCAAGATGCTCAGCTGCTCCCGGAGCCACCATCTTGTATGAGACCACATGGGGTCAGAGCAGTCATGGACGTCTGACAAAACTGAGGAGATAAAGATGTGGACACTATTTTTTTGGTATCTGTTTATTGGTCTCTCGCTGGCTGTGCACCTCCATTGTGACTAGAGGAGGTGCCTAAGCGAGTGGACACATTCCACCCCCATCCCTGGAGGGTTCTACTACCCATGCACTCAGAGGTCCTAGAAATTTAAAGTAACAGTTTCCATTTAAAACCAAAAGGCAGTGCAAAAAGGCCACAGCTGGCCCTGAACTGTTTATCATTAGGAAAAAGGCCTGAACGGGGATTGTGGAGCAGGACAGGCAGACTAAAAAGGAAATAGGCCAAAAATTAAATCCTGAGTTACGTCACAATGACCAACATCTTGAAATTTCTCAGGAAGAAAGAAAAGGGAAGCTCATCTCCTGGATCACATCTACCTGGAGGCAATCAGAAAACATAAAAATACCAAAATACACTCCCATATAAGTATTAAGACCACAGATAACTCCTGAATATGCCCCAAAAACAGAAGCAGATGACCATATCAGCACATGTACAGAAATGAGATAAAGTGACTGAGACAAATGAGCTGGAAGTAGACCTACATTCTATATTCTAAGATGAGGAGGCTTTGGAAATGCCTGAGAAGGAATTCAGAAAAATGATACTAAAATGTATCAAAACACTATACAATGGAGTTGAGAAAAATAAGGAAGAAGTTAGGAAAGCACTACAGGAACAATCAAATAAGATAGATACAGCATTGGAAACAATTCAAAACCTACAGAAAGAGGTCCAAACAATTAATAGAATATCAGAAATGGACAATACACTGAAAGGGCAAAAGAGCAGAACTGAAGAGATAGAAGCCAGAACTAGTGAGCTAGAAGATAAATCTTTCAACACTACTAAGATAGAAGAGTAAACACATGAAAGCATAAAAAAAATCTGAAGAAGGCCTAAGATTCATGTTGAACAACATGAAGAGGATTAAGAATTAACTTAAGAATTGTTGGCATTCTGGAACAGGAAAAATCACACAAGTACACAGAGGAAACAGTTGAAAAGCGAAAAGATAAGCATTCAAGAAGTTCAACGAACCCTTGGAAGGATAGACCCTATAAGAACAGATGATCTGGGAGGTTAGTTTATGATTAAAACAATTACAATGTGAAAGAAGTTAAACACAGAGGAACCGAGATCAACGTGGTGGGAAGATCAGGTAGATTACAGGATAAAATAGACTGTATTAAATGGAGGGAAAATTAATGAAATATAAGGTAACTACAACAGTGGGGTTGGGGTGCAGGGTTTAGGTCAGGTGCTGGGGAGAGCAAAACAAGAAGGGGGAGGAGGTGGAAGAACAAGATAGTAACGAAACACTGAGACAGGGTTGCAAGGCCAAAGAGGGACAGTGGTCAATAGTGATACATGCTCAACCTTGAAACAACAGGGCTATGGGATACAGGGATCTAGGCATAGTATGAAGAGGTGAAATAATACTAAAATGCTTGACTATCTTATGAATATTGGTTTCCCTTGCCTACTATTGTAAAATAGACACTTGAGTGGGATAGAAAGGAATGTTAGGAAACAGTGTTACAGCCTACAACTGACTGGAATACCTAAAACGAATTCTAGAACTTGCCCAGTGAAATAGGTCTCTTGCAAAGCCTTTGCAGATTATAGGACCTTAGGTAGAGTCCTGAGTCCCATCCAGAACCTTACGAGGTGGGACATTCCCACTAGCAAGGACAAGCAGACCAGCCTGGAACAGCTAGCTAGAGTGACAAAAGATATATCTTCAAAGAAAGGACATCAGGAAAATCCCCAAACAAAAATGTAAGCATGATTGGTTACTACAAGAAAAAGCAAGCTGTTCGCCGGGAAGCCATTAAGGGAAGCAATCAAGTTCCTTCAGGACAAACTCCCCTCTAAGACTGAAACTCAAAGGGAACACATAAGCAGGCATGTAAGCTTGCTGGGGACCACACTGGTCTACTGGTGAATGGAAGAGGGAGAAAGGCTGCAATGAAAAAATGGGCTGAGTTCAACCACACTCCGTTGACTCCCATTGACCTGGAGTTGAGAGAGAGAAGAGGAAGAGCTGGTTGGTCCAAAGTGTGGTGAGACCAGGGACACTTGATCCCATGGACAAGGACATAGCAACAGAGGGCTAGATCTGAGAGTGAAGCAGCTAGCTGATATAAAGTGAGGGGATATGCACAAAAACACCCAAACTTGCAGATAGTATCCATTTGACCTAGCCTCAATGGCTTG